CGTTGTCAGTTCGTTTGTACTCTGCCCAACAGTGCCTTTTGCGGCTTAGCAGGCGAAGAGTGCGGTTCCTGATAAATGTAGGTTGCTGATAGCTGTGGGGGACCGTTTGAGGAACTGAATGATTTGTAGCACTTAAGAGCATGTGCAGTAGGAAGTCTCAATGAGCATCCACATCAAGTTGAGGGTGAACATCCAACTGTTGTAGATAGTCCTGTGGAGTTGACACATTCAACCGTTTGAATTACCAGCGCAAGTTGTTGGTGGGATATCTTAGCTCAGTTTTGCTGACGAAATTGAAAGCTATAACGGCGTGATCACTTTTGCCCAGGGAAAGTCAGGATTGAAAGGTTGTCAACTAGAAATTCTTCATTTGTAAATACCCAGTATAAGCGCGATGGTGTCTGACTGTTTTTCCAACGAGTTGCCGACTTCACATTTTCGTGTAATCCCAGATCCCTAATGAGGTTGAAGAACCAAGCTTCAGTTGAGTTTTCACCTCCAATATACGTATGTTCCGCAAAACTGACTCCTTCCAGCATACGACTGTCGTACTCGATGTCGGCGATAGGCTTTCTATATATGACTCCGACTAGACACCTCGAAGTAGCAGACAATCTTACAGAGCACTATATGGATTCCTCAAGATTGTTAAACTCGAGATTCTGAGCTTGGTGTACCTCCAAGCAAGATCGTATGTACATGGCTACTCCCCCCCAATTCCCGATTTTCTGTCGTTGCGAAACTAAGACATCCCAGGTACTGCTAACTCTTGGTCCGAGAACTGAGATGTCCAAGTTTCAGTTATTTCTATCAGATGAGCCTTATTAGTATTGCTAAGTTCACGTAGCTCATCCATTTTATTCGGTAGACTCGCGGCATTCATGTATAAGCAGTTTATGCTTTCAATTTGAAACGTGTGAGCTTCTTCCTGTTTGTCTGTATGAGCCTTACGTGAATGGACAGGTAGCCTACCTATATAATGTTTGCCGAGTTGGTAGGCCCTGTCCTTTACACGTTTTTTATCATCGAGACAGTCCACAAGTGGAATGGTCAGCTCCAACTTGCTTTTGTGCTTTTAGTTCAGTAAGTGGACTAGATCCAGTCCTTCTTCGAAAATGCTATGGTATGTAATGCTTTTACTGATAGTCAGTCAATCAGCTGAAACGTAGGACCAGGCACATATCTGCATCGGTCCAAGTTGCCATACCTCATTAGCACAGGAAGATGAACAGCGAATTCATAGAAGTAGTTAATTCAGTGGTGGTAATATATAAAAGAAAGATTGCATATAAGGACATAGTACAGGAAGAAGGAATTAGTTCGTAGATAGAAAGATATGAAGTGATTTTAATCTCTTAGTTTAAGGGAAGACAGAGAGTGTATACACTTGCGTTATTGTGATCGATTCCAAGCCGCCCCTACCTTTCTCCCAACCATCCCCAACACTAGTCACCATTGTGTGTCGTGGTAATCGGTGTTCAGGCATACGTAACACGTGACCCGACCACCTCAGTCGATGAAGATTCGCAACCGCATCAACTGATTTACCGTCATTCCCTATTACCCTGCGTCTAACCTCACTATTACTTACCCGATGATCCCAACAGGTGTGAGCAGTATTTCTAAGACATCTATGATCAAGTACTAGCAACTTACGAGTATCTTCTACTCTTAATGGTCACGTTTCGCAGCCGTCAATTAGAACAGAACGAACTGCCGGATAGTATACTCGTCCCTTAATTGATAGACGGATATCTCGCCTTTGCTATAGGTCACGTAAGTTGGCAAAGACCAAACGAGCTTTTCGAATCCGTACAGAGATTTCATCAGACACCAACCCATTAGGACTGATCACACTTCCAAGATAAGTGAAGTTCTCGGTGTGTTCGACTACTTCACTCCCTACCCTTAGTTCAGGTGTTGACGCAGACCAGTCCTGAAGCAACAACTTGCATTTAGAGGGGGAGAAACGCATCCCAAACATTCTGGCATATTCAGTCGACGAGAGCGTTATTTCCATCAGTGGGTCTGTGATGAAGTTAAACAAAAATGGAGAGAGTGGACAGCCTTGCCGGACAGTGATTGATGCAGCCACGACCGAGTTTGAAGCCAGCCTGATTTCGTCGTGTTTGCAGTTCACGAGTCTTAGTTAGGCGACCGGTAATTATTGACGCTAGTATTTTAGATGCTATATTAATCAAATCAGTCCTTCTATGGTTATCACAGGATGATTTTGATCCCTTCTTATGTATTAGGACAATCAGTGACTGCGATCAGTCAGGTGGGATTACGTCCAACTCCAAGATTTTAGCTAAAATGTTAGTCAACCTAATCGCTTAAACTGGACCACCATCCTTAAAGACCTCTGGAACCAATCCATCTGAACCAGCTGCTCTTCCTTGTTTGAGATTAACTATAGCCTATTGAACTTCAGCTGGCGTCGGGGACCTACTTCAATGTTCCATTCACGCTGTCTGGGAATGGTGGGTAGTTGCAGAGTAACTGAAGACCGGCTGAACTGCTCCTTAAAGTGTCCCACCCATCGTTCAAAATGTCTGGACTGTGAGAAGATAAGAGTGTCCTCTTCTTCCGAGATAATCTCATATTTGACTTATAAATTCCAGTTTCTTTTATTAGTCTGAAAAGTTATCCTGTTCTACCTACAACCGCTGCCTTTTTCATTTCTTTTGCTTTCGTTGCCCACCACTGCTCATTTTTGCTCTTTATCGTGCTGAAAGACTGATGGAATGAGCTTACGAGTCTTCATCCGTAATACAGATGTTTCAGACTTCTACTGGCTTTCGTAACTCTTTGTTTCAACTTACTAATAAATGTCGGTGCCGTATACACATCTTTCCAAGCAACATCGGGGTCATCCTCGTCACTGAGTTCAATTCTAATAGGTTTCCTTGATTTAGCTTTTGTGCGTCCAGTGAGGCGCAAGCAAATGCATACTCGTATTAGAGCATGACCACAGTCTAAACATATATTCTAGAACAAGCGACAGTCTTCTACCCACCCTCTCCAACGATGACTGATGGCAATATGGTCAATTCGAGTCCATCGTTGGTTTGGTGTAGGGGGTCGCCATGTTAGACGATATCTCTCCTTATGCTTAAAATTTGTGTTCGCTAAAAATAAACGATTGTCTGAGCACAGTCGCAGCAGACCATCACCATTATCTGTTCGCTGTGCCGGAATACTAAAATACCCATCTAAATGCCTTTCTGTTTGGTTTAGGCTACCTATCTGAGCATTAAAGTCACCCGCTACGAGTACTATGTCCGAACGACTAGCTTACTGAAGACGTTCAGAGAGCTTTCTGTAAAATTCATCTTTCACTTCATCCGATCTGCGGTCAGTTGGGGCGTAGGCAGAAATGACGAAAAGGCAACGAGGTGTGTCTCTATCCTTCCGAATTCTTACATAGCCGTTCAACCGAACAACATATAGACAACTGTTGACGGGGACCCATCCTAATAGTGTTTGTACCGCCCTCATGCTTAGTGCTATGCCTACACCTCCCAGTCCACGAGAACTGGTTATCGGGTCACCAGATACACGGAGGGTGTATCTCGCCGGCTCTCCGTTTTGCCAAGGTGAGGTCAAGTGAATGACCACACTGGAATCCTGTATGCGTGTTTCGGAGACACAGCATACATCAATGGTACGAGATTCTAGGGTTTTAGTCAAGGAAGCCTGTTGACCGATTTGACATAGGGTGCGTACGTTGAAGGCTCCAATGGGTAGTTTGGAGCGAGGTTTCAGTAGACCTGGGACAGGGTTTTGCGCACTAGAATCGTTGACTATGGTGACACTTGAGAAGGAAGTGCGGAAGTTTGTAGTTGAAAGTCGATGTAGGAGGAATAATAGGAAGTGAAGACGGAGGTTGATTATGAATACAGTAGTCTTGAGTGCTGTTAGAGGCATGAGGGTGGTTATCACTTCCCAGTCGCCCACACCGTGGAAGGGTTGTTCTGCAGGTTCCTGAAAAGGAAATTGGATTAGAGGTGGTCTTAGTGACCTGAGAGCGTGGCCTCAGTGCCCAAGGGACAACTGCTTGAGGTCGGTCACACATGACCTCTATGTGAGTAATTCCCGTGTTAGCTCCGTAATTGTTGAGACCTTACCGTCGGAGACGGATATCCGTGTGATAAAGCGATGTGTGCATTTCTAGGGTCGACCTTTTCTAACCCCACCCCTCCTTGTGGGAAGGCAGCATCGCTGTCATGCTGGTTGTCTGAGGGAAGCACCCTACTGTCGTCACACCTTTGTGCAGTCATCGGTGCGACTTCTCCCCCGACCATTCGGTTTGCTGTTTTTGGTCTTATCCGTCTTTAACCGACCTGCCTGACGTGACGGGGCCTTGAGGGACGACTTTTTCAGCCATTATAGTTCGATTGGTTCATCACGGTAGGCAAGCCCGACCACCATGTCAAGGTAGTAGCAACGACCGGGTGGCACGAACCGTCGGTAACAGCCCATTCTGGTAGAGATTCAACTCAAAACTTCTAGGTCTCGATGCGAGTGCACTACACTTGGACCACAATTAGGATCTACTAACATACACTTTCAACCTCGGTCAGAGATGAATATCATAACACGAAACACTACAATGACTATTTATGAGGCCAAAATGGTCATCTAGTTTATAAAGCGACATGAGAGCTAAAAGTCCCATGGTAACTTTTGGAAAAAAACCTCCGTTCAACAAATCCTCACTGTTTAGCTGAAAAGTATGCACTTTGAAATCCCTTATGGGTCACTCAAATACAGGTTCATATTTTTGGAAGTACACTCATCCGCGCAATATATATATAGACAAAAATCGTAGGATTATAAGTTTTCTGCACTTTGTGAAGAAAGTATTAGAGGAATAAAAGTTTACAAATTACTTTTGAGAAGTATTTATATAAATTTACTGATTAGTTACAAGATGAATCGATCTACAGATAGTTACACTTTTAAAAATTTAAAGGATGAAAATATATATGATGTATCTATGACAGTGATTTTATGAGTAATACAGCACCAGCTAAAAATGTAGAAATGAAAAGAAGACCATTAGTATGAGTATATCCGGTTATTGGAGGGACAAATTGATAAACACCCGTGCTAGGTTTCATTGCTCTGCCTCTTTCGAGTTCATACTGACCTTGTGCTTTTGCCCACTGTGTCATTTTTTCCACCCATCTTCTAATACGAATGGAAAGAGAGCAAGAAAACTAAAATAAAATTGTGTGAATAGTAAGAACAAATAACACAAAAAAGAAAAAACTAATTCATATACCATAAGATTAGAGTGAAAACACAACCAGAAAGACATAGGGAAAAAAACGCGAAGATTATATTTCGACAGACAAAACTGTTGATAGTAAAGAAGATTGAACAGTTATTGGGTTATCAAAAATCTAATAGTAAAGTAACATGACACTGATCACCACCCAGTGATCAATCACTTGTGGTCTAATAGTAAAGGTGTTAATTCATTGAATGTAACTAGACAGATAGTTCAGTTTTACAAAAAGATGGCATTTGGCTAGCAGTGGAATCCAAGACGCGCGTTTCGCTCTATCTGGAACCTGTCCATCTATTTCATATAAACTTGTGTCAATGGCTAATATCAAGGCTATCTGCACAGAATATACATATGCCAACTAAGACTAGTTTTAATTCAGTCAAAATATCAACAACGGCATAACCGAAACCGATACAAATTCGATTAGAAAGATGACGACTAGAAGTATTATCTTAATCATTAATTCCTTTGATATCAACAATTTGGATTTCAAGATTTACATTGGCGACCTTCACACTCCTAAAGTATACATGAAAGAAAACAAGAGTTTGGGTACTTAAACTTTTAAAGACAAACACGGTTATCGACGTTTCATTTATATGTATGATGAAAAACAGTTTGTATGATTATCACAGAAACTTAATATAACCTAATGAGTTTTAGTCTCATTTACATAAGCGGATATTGGAGCATCACAATAAAACTGCCAATCAATTGAGTAGGTTAAAGAGTCAAACACATAATTTCAAATCAAAATCAGTTATTTTTGTTATCGGTAATACATGGATGAAAGCACTTAAAAATATCAATTACGGTCATTCAAAAGTCAATGGAAATCAACTACAGAACATTTTGAATGGTTATATTTTATTTTCGTTTACTAGGATGAATCGCCGGAGATAGCTAACAGGTATTATATCTTAAAACCTGTTAGTTAGTCGTAGGAAAACAAAAAGACAATAACTTTTCTAGTTTTGAACGTATAAATTGACAAAATAAGGATAGTCAATCGAGCATAACAAGAACCAAGTAGTGTCTTTGAAACCTCAGCCAGATAACGAGATAGCGGCGATAGATTACTGTAACCACACCAACTAATCCCAATTTATTATTCAATTTTAAAATGGGAACCAGTATTGTCTAACCACGTAGGCCAATTAGTATAAAAATATACAGTTACTAAGCTACATTAATTAATAGTTATTGTGTAACACCAAGTGAAGCAATGGTATTGTGTAGTAGATCTAATCTTTACGGAACAACTATAATTTAAGGTTTACTACCTACAGTTAGATACTGGTGAGCATATAATTAAATTATCACATTCTTTCTCTATTTAACTGTTAGGATATATATATTTTAAACGAAATCATACTGATCAATAGCAATGTATATATTTCACAGAAATGGTCCAGCACAATGTCGATTGCCTGATAAAAGTTACGGAAGGACTTAACTCCTGAAGCACACTCATGTGTGAAATACTCCGTCAGTTTTAATCAAAACAGTCAGTAAATACAGATATTCTTGGTCAATCAGTCTTAATCAATATAAAAGAAGTGTCTTGCATTGCTCTAATAACTAATATAATTAAAACTTATTACCACAGAAAAGCGTGATCCATTGGTTGCTATTGTATTCGCTATGAAGAACTCGTGAGAGTTAAGGTTTCAAAGGTTAATTAAACTGATGTTAAGTATATTTTACTAAAACACGAGCTAAACTTATTCATTAATGTACATGCACTTGATTACGAACCCATCTAACTAATTAATGGCATGATCACGTAATCTTTGATAGAAAAAAATATTTGTTTTAGATACTAGTAACTATTACTTAATGATGAATTGAAAATAGGAACTTCAGTTGCAACACACAACGTATACACAGTGAGTTTTCCCTGGTTAGTTGGAACGTAATTTATCATTAACAATCGTACATGGTTATCTGTAATTTTACGAATGTGAGGAGGAAAGTGAGCAGATACATATATGATACGAAAGGTAAGTAAGGTATATGCTTTCAGTACACCAGCTTTTTAAAATGGTTAAATCAAGTGGTGTAAACCTGACCTAATTGCTCAAAATTCAGTGCTTTTACCACTCTTAATTTTTAATAGGCTAAATGCTTAACCCTGTTGAAGGATAAGTGAATCTAATCTGAAAACAATAAAGAAAGTGAGGGGACAATAATACAAATCCACACAACAACCTATTAAGGTCTTATCCATTGAAACATAAACTTATACACCAAGCAAAGAGTTCTTATACATTTTTGTACCTAGTAAAGCTTATAAAAATAGTATGAATACCTGTGGACACAATAATCTATTGGACAGTCAAATAGCAAACAGAACTAACCTTCGCATTTCGTCCCCATAAGCTTCAAAACCAACCTTGTCAAGATCAGGTGGTGGATGAGGATAATGCATTCGAAAAGCATCAGCACTAATTCCAAAAGCATTGACTTTTCTATTTAAGTCATATTCTTGACGAGATTCCGACCTCCCAAGGACCGAATACGCCTCGCTTACTTCGGCAAAATGTATCTTTGCTTTATCATCTAAACACTTGTCAGGATGGTACTAATAAAGGTATCATTAATTAGACGTAAATAGAACCTTTTTAGATAGATCTAAGTAGGAAGCTTTAATTTCTTCTGGGGATGCTGTACTTTTGACATTTAAGATATTATAGTAATCTCTAACTCCTGTCAATGTGCTGAAATACTTGTATACCCAACGAAAAGTATGAGTTAATCTTCTAGTTTTATCAGAAGTGGCTAGGAACATATGATCGATTACAATTCCCTAATAAGAAAAAAAAAGCTCAGTTACTTAAAATACACAGTTTTATGATATTTCGTTAATAACTGTCTAAAACCAGGGGAGAAACAGCGTAATAGTTCTAATTTTCATTGCTAAAGTTCCCGTACAATTTTAGTGGGGTTGAGTTCTCTGAGCTAGTATTGTCTTTTTAGACAATATCAGCACGGAACCACATAATCCCATCAATAATAAATCTCAATTGAAGCACACAACCGCTGACCAATTTTAAGTTTAGGATAATAGGTGGCTACTGAATTTCAGGAATAAAATAATAAGTTAAGCCATACACACAGAAATGTGAAATAAAAAGTCAGTAGTAAAAGCATTTGTATAATACGCAGATGCGCATCTGGTGCTAACAATACAGCGTTCTTAACTAAGCTGAGACTGACTATCATGGAAAGTTATTATTTATCATCAAGAAACTTAGTATAAATACCATAAAAACGAATACCTTCCACAAATCGTTCAGTATATGCATTTATGCAAATGCAGAAAATATAACTACCTTGTATATCTCAACCGGAAAGTATACGACTTCAAGCAGATCCAATAAACAAACGAAAACCCCACGAAAATGCAGTGATTAAATATAATCCCCATCATCAACACCAACTCTAGTCAGTCGAGTAAGTCAAGGTAGACGACAGTGGTAAATGTCTAAATCATCCCTAGAGGTCAAAGAAACTAGCCACATTAAAAGGCTTAGGGTAAGAAGCAGAGGTTATCAAAATTTATAAGGACAGTGCATTTGATTACTAGCTCATGATTAATGCATGGAAACATGAAGAACCTATAGGGGAAGAAATATTAAGTCATTTAAGTTGTTCCTTAACGTTCTGTTATTAGTTAGTGGTCTGATAGTGGATTAACAATGCACTGATAGATTCTCGTAAACTCATCCCATCATGCTCTGAACACGAACAACAGCAAACACAAATCAGGTCTAGGTTAACCAAAAGTCTAAGGAACGACCGTGAGCAGTGGTGGGCAACGAAAGCAAAAGAAATGAAAAAGGCAGCGGTTGTAGGTAGAACAGGATAACTTTTCAGACTAATAAAAGAAACTGGAATTTATAAGTCAAATATGAGATTATCTCGGAAGAAGAGGACACTCTTATCTTCTCACAGTCCAGACATTTTGAACGATGGGTGGGACACTTTAAGGAGCAGTTCAGCCGGTCTTCAGTTACTCTGCAACTACCCACCATTCCCAGACAGCGTGAATGGAACATTGAAGTAGGTCCCCGACGCCAGCTGAAGTTCAATAGGCTATAGTTAATCTCAAACAAGGAAGAGCAGCTGGTTCAGATGGATTGGTTCCAGAGGTCTTTAAGGATGGTGGTCCAGTTTTAGCGATTAGGTTGACTAACATTTTAGCTAAAATCTTGGAGTTGGACGTAATCCCACCTGACTGATCGCAGTCACTGATTGTCCTAATACATAAGAAGGGATCAAAATCATCCTGTGATAACCATAGAAGGACTGATTTGATTAATATAGCATCTAAAATACTAGCGTCAATAATTACCGGTCGCCTAACTAAGACTCGTGAACTGCAAACACGACGAAATCAGGCTGGCTTCAAACTCGGTCGTGGCTGCATCAATCACTGTCCGGCAAGGCTGTCCACTCTCTCCATTTTTGTTTAACTTCATCACAGACCCACTGATGGAAATAACGCTCTCGTCGACTGAATATGCCAGAATGTTTGGGATGCGTTTCTCCCCCTCTAAATGCAAGTTGTTGCTTCAGGACTGGTCTGCGTCAACACCTGAACTAAGGGTAGGGAGTGAAGTAGTCGAACACACCGAGAACTTCACTTATCTTGGAAGTGTGATCAGTCCTAATGGGTTGGTGTCTGATGAAATCTCTGTACGGATTCGAAAAGCTCGTTTGGTCTTTGCCAACTTACGTGACCTATAGCAAAGGCGAGATATCCGTCTATCAATTAAGGGACGAGTATACTATCCGGCAGTTCGTTCTGTTCTAATTGACGGCTGCGAAACGTGACCATTAAGAGTAGAAGATACTCGTAAGTTGCTAGTACTTGATCATAGATGTCTTAGAAATACTGCTCACACCTGTTGGGATCATCGGGTAAGTAATAGTGAGGTTAGACGCAGGGTAATAGGGAATGACGGTAAATCAGTTGATGCGGTTGCGAATCTTCATCGACTGAGGTGGTCGGGTCACGTGTTACGTATGCCTGAACACCGATTACCACGACACACAATGGTGACTAGTGTTGGGGATGGTTGGGAGAAAGGTAGGGGCGGCTTGGAATCGATCACAATAACGCAAGTGTATACACTCTCTGTCTTCCCTTAAACTAAGAGATTAAAATCACTTCATATCTTTCTATCTACGAACTAATTCCTTCTTCCTGTACTATGTCCTTATATGCAATCTTTCTTTTATATATTACCACCACTGAATTAACTACTTCTATGAATTCGCTGTTCATCTTCCTGTGCTAATGAGGTATGGCAACTTGGACCGATGCAGATATGTGCCTGGTCCTACGTTTCAGCTGATTGACTGACTATCAGTAAAAGCATTACATACCATAGCATTTTCGAAGAAGGACTGGATCTAGTCCACTTACTGAACTAAAAGCACAAAAGCAAGTTGGAGCTGACCATTCCACTTGTGGACTGTCTCGATGATAAAAAACGTGTAAAGGACAGGGCCTACCAACTCGGCAAACATTATATAGGTAGGCTACCTGTCCATTCACGTAAGGCTCATACAGACAAACAGGAAGAAGCTCACACGTTTCAAATTGAAAGCATAAACTGCTTATACATGAATGCCGCGAGTCTACCGAATAAAATGGATGAGCTACGTGAACTTAGCAATACTAATAAGGCTCATCTGATAGAAATAACTGAAACTTGGACATCTCAGTTCTCGGACCAAGAGTTAGCAGTACCTGGGATGTCTTAGTTTCGCAACGACAGAAAATCGGGAATTGGGGGTGGAGTAGCCATGTACATACGATCTTGCTTGGAGGTACACCAAGCTCAGAATCTCGAGTTTAACAATCTTGAGGAATCCATATAGTGCTCTGTAAGATTGTCTGCTACTTCGAGGTGTCTAGTCGGAGTCATATATAGAAAGCCTATCGCCGACATCGAGTACGACAGTCGTATGCTGGAAGGAGTCAGTTTTGCGGAACATACGTATATTGGAGGTGAAAACTCAACTGAAGCTTGGTTCTTCAACCTCATTAGGGATCTGGGATTACACGAAAATGTGAAGTCGGCAACTCGTTGGAAAAACAGTCAGACACCATCGCGCTTATACTGGGTATTTACAAATGAAGAATTTCTAGTTGACAACCTTTCAATCCTGACTTTCCCTGGGCAAAAGTGATCACGCCGTTATAGCTTTCAATTTCGTCAGCAAAACTGAGCTAAGATATCCCACCAACAACTTGCGCTGGTAATTCAAACGGTTGAATGTGTCAACTCCACAGGACTATCTACAACAGTTGGATGTTCACCCTCAACTTGATGTGGATGCTCATTGAGACTTCCTACTGCACATGCTCTTAAGTGCTACAAATCATTCAGTTCCTCAAACGGTCCCCCACAGCTATCAGCAACCTACATTTATCAGGAACCGCACTCTTCGCCTGCTAAGCCGCAAAAGGCACTGTTGGGCAGAGTACAAACGAACTGACAACGACGGAGCGTACAGGCAATACAAACATATAAGGAACATATGCACGAAGGTTATAAGAGAAGATAGGCTTCAGTACCAGACAAAGCTTATGGAAATATTTGCCTCTAATCCTAAAAGCTTATTCCGTTATGCAGCCTCTCTTCATCAAGCCAAAACAGGAATTTCCCAACTGCTAGGTCTTAACGGCCCGACCAACGACGACGCCGCTAACCTTTTGGCTGAACAATAATCTCGGACATTTAGACCGACCCACATAAACTATACTGACGAAAGCTTCATCTGCAACTTCAAAGGACTTTCCGAGGTGTACCTGAGCGCTGACTTGGTGTTCCGGAAACTGCAGCACTTAAGAGTTGACACTTCTCCTGGCCCGGATATGGTTCATTCTGCCATACTGAGGGAAGCAGCCTCAATCCTGGCAACGCCGCTTAGCGTGATGTTCTTACACTCGCTAAGCCGAGGAATACTACCGGAAAATTGGAAGCTGGCTCACATCACACCAATTTTCAAAGGAGGTCGACGCAGCAAACCTTCAAGTTACCGACCGGTGGCTCTTCTCTCAATACCTTCAAAAATCATGGAGTCCCTGATATGTGATGGTATAAATGACTATTTACTGTCCTTAAATTTCTTCACACCCCAACAGCATGGTTTCAGGAAGGGTTACTCTTGTATAACCAACCTGCTGACTGCGGTGGACAGATGGACAAGCATCCTCGATCACAATGGGAAGGTTGATATCATCTACCTAGATATCTCAAAAGCTTTTGATAAGGTTAACCATACATGTCTTATCAATAAGCTCAAACGATTGGGTATCAGACCATCTCTAATTGATTGGCTCATTTCATATCTGAAAACTCGACATTTTAGGGCCAGGGTTAACTTTACTTTATCTCAGGCTATGGAATGTCCTAGTGGGGTCTCCAAGGGCTTAGTACTAGGACCTCTTTTCTTGATATATATAAATGATCTTTCACAACAGGTGTCGTCAAACGTATTACTTTTGCTGATGACGTGAAACTTTGGGAAGAGGTACTCAACCAAGAGGATATACAGGCACTTAAGGAGGATCTGACTCGACTTCAAAGTTGAGCAGACGATAAAGGACTTACCTTTAACACTTCAAAGTGTAAAGTAGTCCATCTGCGACATGTAGCAGACTACAGTTATGACTTAGGAAACTCCTCTATCGTATTATCCCAAGTCGAAAACGACTTAGGAGTCCTGGTGCCCCACAATTTAAAGTCTTATGCTGATTGTGATAAAAATGCCTTCTGAGCAAACCTTGCACTGGTAACATTGAAGCGCATTTTTGGCCAGTTTGACGGAAGAACTTTCCATATAATCTTCAATAGTTTTATCCGTCCCCATTTAGAGTACGGAAACATAGTATTTCCTCCCTCACTTCAAAAGGAGAAGGACACCTTGGAGCGTATCCAACGGCGAGTCACGAAATTAGTTCGAGGACTCAAATTCAAACCTTACGAAGAGCGCCTCCTTTCACTTAACCTTTACCCATTAGAGTATAGACGTCTTAGAGGTGATCTGATGGCTTATAGTATTCTTAACACTTCTGGGCATCCTCTCAAACACCTACCTAAGCTTAGTTCCAACACTAACTAAAGGGGTAACACCCAAAAACTGGAGACACAACATAGCAGAACGAACTGTAGACACAACTTCTACTCCTTAAGAGTTGTCAAATGCTGGAATGCGCTGCCGATCGAGTTAGTCCAAGCGACTACCCAGGAGTCTATTAAGAGGTAACTTGATCTATTCTTAAGGACTAAGGATAATATCACACTATGATTTACTAATTCCTATTTCCTCTTTTATTGTTAACATACCTAGGTTCCTGCCTGGAGGATTTGGTGATTCCCTGCTACTAGACACGGAAGCCTGTTGAGCGAAAGCCTCTTCTATTCCGTCCACAACCATTTGAACCAAAGGGAATCACCCAGCTACGTAATCAAAAGGATGTAAATCCTCCAAACTACGAAGCATAATTACTACGTCAGGGATAGTGAAACTCAATAACTAGGTACAATAATGTGCATCAGTCTTACTAAAACAAATTCGATATGGTACCAGAGCAGTTATCAGAATACCAGCGAAATTATAATTACGAATGAAACGACATTGTTGCACAACAATATTGATGACTCATCAGTCCAGGGAGATATATATCTCCCTGGACAAACTGTACACTATGTGAGGAGAGATTTTCATACAAAGATCCACATGACCATTAAGAGCATTTTATTCGAATGGCCAAAATATATGACTTGATATATTTCGACTGGTCAGTCAAACATAACTGCAGCACTTCGAAGTACTTCAGGCATCTTTTAAATGTTAACAGCTATATATATTGCAGATCTGCAATAAAATGCATTAGCTGGTGTCTAGACTTCTCAGTTAATGTAATCTCGCTCTAAAATATAAAAGAGAATCGAGATAAACAAAGACCAAACAGTCGGCCAGCGATCAGAGCTACCTTTCTGTAGTTTACAACGAAGTCAAGTACCGATGACCTTGTGAAGCAGACTGTTGATTTGATGCAAAACTACTTAAGTGTAGCGAGTTTTGGTATGAATAATTCAATTTTTTGTCAGTTATTTCTGACGTTAAAGATAGAGGTTTATGGTTGATGTTTCAGGCTATGAATTAAAGTAAGGAGTTTAAGCAAGGTTCAAATGGTTCAAATGGTTGTGGACGGAATAGAAGAGGCTTTCGCTCAACAGGCTTCCGTGTCTAGTAGCAGGGAATCACCAAATCCTCCAGGCAGGAACCTAGGTATGTTAACAATAAAAGAGGAAATAGGAATTAGTAAATCATAGTGTGATATTATCCTTAGTCCTTAAGAATAGATCAAGTTACCTCTTAATAGACTCCTGGGTAGTCGCTTGGACTAACTCGATCGGCAGCGCATTCCAGCATTTGACAACTCTTAAGGAGTAGAAGTTGTGTCTACAGTTCGTTCTGCTATGTTGTGTCTCCAGTTTTTGGGTGTTACCCCTTTAGTTAGTGTTGGAACTAAGCTTAAGTAGGTGTTTAAGAGTTTTGGAGTTAAAAATTATAACCAAGATTAGGTTTTGGAATTTTTAATTGGGATTAAGGTTCTCGTTATGTGGGTGTTCCCAAGGGTAGGCAAGCCATGCACACCTTCTGGACTCGGACCTTCGTGACGAATTGCATGAGTCTTTGTAAGGTGGCAGGGGAATCGATCATTCTGAAAGGCATTGTCCGGATCTCGTATAACTTTTTGGGGACGACAGTTGTCATTTTGGCTCTGTCGTTCGGATGTACCCTGACCTGAGAGATGCCTAATGCCACGCTCAAGGTTGAAAACCATTTGGAACTCGATAGTACCTCCAAAGTTTCATCAATAAGTGGGATCAGAAGGGGCAATTGTGTTTAGTTTTTAATGACCAACACAAAACCTAACGTTTCCGGTCTTCCTTCTGGTAGGCACTACTGGGTATGCCCATGAAGACTGTGATTGTATATTAAGGCCATTGTTCAATATTTCCATTATCATACAAGACAATCCGGATTGAAGTTCGATCGAGGTTCTCCAGAGCCCTTATCTAATAACATTGCACTTTCTGTATTAATCTGATGAATTATTAGTTTGTTCCTTTCTAATTCTGTAAATGTCTATACAGTGACTTTAGAATTAACCCTCAGTGACTTAAGAACTTCTGCCTGCTCATTGTTTTGAACCTCTGACAATAATTGTTTGATTGGTGTCTTCGATATCATATCGATCAACAGACGTAGTAATACTCACATATTTCTGATAGAGCGAGGGTACGCCATTTCTACAGGCATGCTCAATGATTTAAAACATTGGTTTACAGATAAGTTACAGCTCATGTAGGGTAAAATCAGTGAAAATAAACGGCAGAATATTCGCGCAGATATGCCAGAAAGTCAGCAATTAGGTATATGCGTTAGTAATGTATTATGAGTTCTCAGTTTACACGATCTGTTCAAAGCGTAATTGAGTCCACGTTGGGATCATGACAAACCCACATCATGTCCAAGCATGGTGAACATGGCACAGGTGTTCAGTGTTTGACAACGCTTTAACCAATAACACCTAATATAACTCGTACCCACCAAGAAAAATCGAAAGACAGAATCGAGGAGATTAGAAGATATATTTGATAACTATCAATATATCGAGAATCGTCTGATCTAATCTGGCTAGCGATTGCAGTAGATGTTGAGCACGGCGTTCCCACTCGTGATCTGGTGCGGATGCATGACCGAGCGCCTTCAGCTAGGTAAGTCCATTAAAACATGTGGTCAGCATCCAATGTTGAAAACTTACAGAGCTAATTATTTTGGGGATTTATTTACTGCTACAATGGCATTCAAGTGTTAGAATTTTGCTGCTCCCAGGTGTTTATCTACTGCAACTGTTTGATAAGTTTATGGTTAATATAAAATAGCAACTAAAAGGTGCATAACATGAGCTATGCATTTGTAAAACCTGTACGAAGAAGCTCCATAGCTGTGTAATGCGAACGTGATGCTATAAGGATGAGAAAAAGGCAGAACAAGATTTCGGCCGAAGTATGGTAAATTAGTAGATGAAACTCATACTAGCTGTCATTATGAGGGTGGACTGTGTTTAATGAGTTTCCAGATAAGAGAGTTAAGTAATAAATAAAAATAAAATGTGGTGTGTAATGAGACGGAACTGAGTGGAATGATGAGAGACTGTCACACTTGGAGTCTAGAAGGCTGTTCATCAAAACCGAAAGTGCATCAAAAGAGAAAGGAGTCCTAACAAACGCTAATAACTATATCTTTTAATACATATTATTCATTATTCCCGTTTTTCATTTAGGGTCAGCCACGATACCTACGAAGGTGTACTTAACAATTCATAGAGGGAAAGAAAGAGTCATGAAACTCAGATCTTAATGCGATTCGAAAATTCAGAAGATCTATGATATCTGCGTAGGCCTCAGACATGTTCCTACGTGCTAGAAGACCAGAACAAGCAGTGGCATCATGAAGAAGTATTACTGTGTGGGCGAGAATGATAATGATTGGTTGTTTGCTTAGTCAGACATGTAGATAGTCTGACAGGTGTCAGATGAGTTATATATTCCCCTATCCTTATTATTATTAATCACTTGTTATTGATTGTTAATTGCTGCTGGATTGTGTCGGGTTTTTGGTGTGGAAATATATTTACGTTCTAGTCAGACTAATCACGTGTTCTTGATCTGAGTTGTGCTGAGGTCCTGTAGAAAAGACACTGGGAGGGAATCTAGTGTAGATAATCGTTTAAGGTAAGTTGACGTCCCATACATGTAAACGTAAAAACCCAACCGTTATAACACTGGACAAAGTAAAACCGAGCGTTCTAACGCTAACGTATATAACCCATCTGCCATGCATATCATGGAGGGGGCAACGTTCCATATTAGTGAATACTTTGTGGGGAAATCCTCCCAAGTTTCGATTTGGATTACTTAACATTGACCGTAGATACTTTACATCAAAAGTTATATATATGTTGACCCTGGTTAATGACTATAATACATGTAGAATAAGTGGGATTTCTGAGGAGTTTGAAGTACATAATCAAATTGGACCTAAGCCTCCTTTTTCAGAGGGGTTCTAGTCCTAGGATATGGTATCAGGAATGATAGTCAACGGGTGAATCATTTTTAAGCATTTTGTTAGTAAAATCTTGTCGTGTTCCTTCCATCTTTAGTGTATCAGAAAGGCGTAATTTGGGAAATAAGAACGGACAGTACTCATTGGTAGCTTTTACGCATATCAATATTAAGTTTTGCTTTATCAAGATAAGTTGGCTCATCTGTCTTCTCTGGTTTACTTCTTTCCCCCTCTTTTCAACGATATTCACATATTTCACATATTTGTGCTCGTATTTTGCTAAATGACTGGACTCTCTATTCGCCTCGCGCGCATCAGCTTCTCCGCTCGACATTTTGCTCTTTAACGGCATTCGAAATGAGTACACTTTACGTGATTCGATAGTAGTCCTTCGAGTTGCGTAGGGAAACGAGGTAGGCTTATCAGTAAATGCCAGAGTTCTTAGTAAGCTATGAGTAACTTATCTGATGAATGTGAGGAAATGAGCAGCAATTTTATCATCCTTAACATCTTTTCTAGTCATACTCTAGATATCGACCTTTTCTATATAATCTTAGAAAGCTCCAAAATTTCAGTCTTCAGTAATAAGGACAGATCTGTCGACCTATATTGATCCTTGTAATTTTTAACACTGTCGGTGTCTAATCTCGTATAGAATATATCAGCAGGATGTGCTGATATTACGTGTTCTGGTAAAGAATTTCAGTAATTCAGTACTCGATGTGAGATGCGGAACTTCAGTCGTAGACGATTTGATCTCAGTCTTCGAAACTTCTCAGAATATTCTCACAAATGATCAGTCCAAGACGGAAGAAAAAGATAAGACGTATTGATACCAAGGTTATCGTTCAGTATACGATAAGTCAATATTAGACCACCTCATATTCTACGGTAAGACGACAGAAATAAGTTGAAGTGTCTCAGTCTGTCTTTATAAGATAGGCCAGAGAAATCTCCTACCGATTTTATCCCTCGTCGTTGGATTCGTTCCAGTATATCCGCCTCATACTTGAGATAATGACTCTCTGCTTGAATACCATATTCCAAATGTGGCCTGACGAATGTCTGGTATAATAATTTAAACATTTCCTTGTCCAAATATTGGAATGACCTAATAGCCCATAATACCCTAAAGCCTTCGGCAACAATAGCCTTACAGTTACTCGTGCTTTCGAGGTCGCTGCTTATTATGACTCCTGAATCTTTATAGTTTATTCATTTGGGCTAGGTCATCTGCGAAGTCCAAATTGTCTAATTGGTTCTGAGCTGTTCATTGTATTCCGCGTTTTCCCTCAGATCTCGAGGTCTTCATAATCCAGTCGACCGCCAGAAGAAAGAGGAAGGGAGAGAATAAACACCCTTGTCTGACTCCGGCCATTACTTGGAATTCATCTGTCAGCTGTCCTCCATGCACGACTTTGCACTGTAGTCCATCATATGAGTTCCGGATAATGTTGACAATCTTCTCAGGAACTCTGTAGTGTCAAAGACGTTTTCATAACTTCCTCCTATCTACACTGTCAAATACCTTTTCACAATCAATGAAGTTGATGTACAGTGACGAGTTCCACTCAACTGATTGTTCAACGATGATCCGTAGTGTCGCAATTCGGTCTGTGCACGACCGATCCGTACAGAATCCAGCTTGTTGATCTCAAAGTTGGGCGTCTACTGAGTCCTTCATCCGGTTCAGCAATAGTCTGTTAAAGACTTTTCCTGGTACTGACAGTAGTGTAATGCCTCTGTAGTTTTCACATTTGCTCAGATCTCCTTTCTTTGGAATTTTGATGAAGTGTCCTTCTTTCCAGTCCGTAGGCACTTGTTCCTTCTCTCAAATCTTTTTGAATAGAAGGTAAAGCATGTTTGTAGTTACTTCGATGTCTGACTTCAGTGCTTCAGCTGGTATGTTGTCGGGTCCTGCTGCTTTCCCGCTCTTGATTTGTCTGATGGCCATTTTGATTTCTTCTTCAATCGCTTGTTTGCTTCTATGTACTCAACTTGTGCTTGGAATTTATCTGCTCGTGTTCGGCTGTTGTTAATTGCTGTCTTCTTGTTTTTCCTTTCTTTGATCCTGTCCGGTGTTTCTATAGAGATCCATTCCTTATGATGATGCTTCTTGAGGCCCAGAACCTCTTGACACGTTGAAGTTAATGCTTCTTTGATACCTTTCCAGTTGTCCTCCATAGTAGTTTCTTCCTCCTTCAGTAGATCCTGTAAGGCTTGGAACCTGTTGTTGAGAGCTATCTTGAACTCACTGAGTTTGTCAGTATCTCGAAGGAAGGCCGTATTGAACCTTTGTAGTGCTGTTTGTCCACTTGTCCAGTTCTTCTTTAGCTTCAGTTTTAAATTGACCACAACTAGGTGGTGATCTGAAGCTATGTCAGCTTCTCTCCTGGTTCTCACATCTTCCATTGTCCCTCGGAATTTTTTATTGATGCAAACATGATCTATCTGGTTTTCTGTGGTATGGTCCGGTGAGATTCATGTAGCTTTGTGTATATGTTTGTGTGGAAATATCGTGACGCCTATGACCAATTTGTTGAATGCACATAGATTTGCAAATCTTTCCCCATTTTCATTTCTCTCCCAGTCGATGTCGTCGCATGATATCTTCATATCCGGTGTTGTCTATTCCGACTTTGGCGTTTAGATCTCGTCTAGAGACATATGAGGTCTTACTCGAATGTCGGTAACATCGTGACTACGAGCGAAACTTAACAGAAGATCACGTTGCTTCTCCGACCCTAGGTTTACCATAAGGATCAACACTGTCGTCGGTTCTCTTACCTATTCTTATCAATATTTTGACCTGAACTCCTTTCGAGTTGTCCGGTAAGATGCTACGTATAAATTCTCCAAGCTGGTCCAAATTATGTGCATTTGGGGATCAGGATTGTTTGATTCTATCATATTACTTACAATAATATTCGATGAGATTAAGTTGTTATCAGCCACGCCAGGGTGGAGTTCTGCTTTACTATCAAACTTTGGTGGTGTGTTTTATGACTAAGAATGGGAGTCCATCAATCACTTGCCAACTAAGTGGTTGCATTTTATAGCTTTTTTACTGTCATGTATTTCTTCTTCTATTTTTCGTCACTCAGGACAGCCACACCGGGACTATTAGGAACGGTGACGGTTTAACCGGGTCTTCAATTTCTACTAAAGAAGCATTACTACCCATATCAATATCAAGTGGCACTTCACTTCTCGTTAGTTCCAGTGGAGATTTTACTTTTCCGCCAATCACAGTCGGGTGTTTAACGCGTCCCGTGACAGTAAGTACTACACTATCAAAATTTTCAATGTCAGTACTCATGTTACTAGCGCGACTACCATCTTTTTTCTTATAGGCCAAAGATAATATGCTCATAACCTCCTAGATCAGTAATGTTTTGTTCGTACAGAAAAATACACAAAGCCAATGAGAGTTAGGCTACGAGCACCTTGTGTACGTGGTGGGACTTAAACAGGTATAGATCTTATGTGGCCACTTTTTACATTCATCGCACTGCATTCCTTCGTGCACGAGATATAAACAATTCGGCTGTCTACACTTAATAACAATAATATATATTTCTGAATGTGCAGGTACACTCCATTTTTACAGGCATGATCTATAAATTACAACATTTGTTGGTTCACAAAATGCTTCCTAATTTATTAAGTTTATAGTTGTTATAAAGTATACTCGTAGGGCGTTTGCTGTAAACTGTGACCTTGAGGAGACGCGTACGTCAAGTTTGTACTAGACGTCAGGAGTTTCATAGCTGTGCCCTCAGAGCAAATTTCTGAAGAAGAAGAAAAAGAGAAACATAAGAGCAGCAAGGCACTTGAATATGAACGCCAAAAGTTACTTAACATTGTGTAGCAGAACAGACAGAGGTATAATAAAATAGAATAAATTCATCTTATCTCTTGTTGGAGTGAAATGAAGTCAGAGGCTCCATATTAGAGAATGTAGTAATAAAGAACCATGAGTTGTGTCATTTAACATGTTGGGTAAACCCACATTAAAGAAGGGAAGTGAGGGCTGATACAAGGAAAGCGGTTTATTAGAAGGGTGTGTATATAAAGGGTGAAGTGTTAAGTATACTAATGACTATATCTTTTGTTGTCTAATTTTTTTCCCTTTTTTGTTTATCCGATGCCAGCCACACAATCCTAGTGAAAGTCCGAGTTAGCGTTATAGGTTGTCTTAATACAATAGCTAATCCAGCATAATATTGTACTGTCGTGATATGGTGTGTGACATAGCTACTAACACGAAAACAAAGATAATCACATGTACTAAATCGCTTACGCTTTTTGAAACATGCAATAAAGTCAGCCTTTCATTATGTCAGTCAGACACAATGTAGGATCAGGGACATATATGCATCGGACCAAGTTGCCATACCACTGTCGTACTCGATGTCGGCGATAGGCTTTCTATATATGACTCCGACTAGACACCTCGAAGTAGCAGACAATCTTACAGAGCACTATATGGATTCCTCAAGATTGTTAAACTCGAGATTCTGAGCTTGGTGTACCTCCAAGCAAGATCGTATGTACATGGCTACTCCACCCCCAATTCCCGATTTTCTGTCGTTGCGAAACTAAGACATCCCAGGTACTGCTAACTCTTGGTCCGAGAACTGAGATGTCCAAGTTTCAGTTATTTCTATCAGATGAGCCTTATTAGTATTGCTAAGTTCACGTAGCTCATCCATTTTATTCGGTAGACTCGCGGCATTCATGTATAAGCAGTTTATGCTTTCAATTTGAAACGTGTGAGCTTCTTCCTGTTTGTCTGTATGAGCCTTACGTGAATGGACAGGTAGCCTACCTATATAATGTTTGCCGAGTTGGTAGGCCCTGTCCTTTACACGTTTTTTATCATCGAGACAGTCCACAAGTGGAATGGTCAGCTCCAACTTGCTTTTGTGCTTTTAGTTCAGTAAGTGGACTAGATCCAGTCCTTCTTCGAAAATGCTATGGTATGTAATGCTTTTACTGATAGTCAGTCAATCAGCTGAAACGTAGGACCAGGCACATATCTGCATCGGTCCAAGTTGCCATACCTCATTAGCACAGGAAGATGAACAGCGAATTCATAGAAGTAGTTAATTCAGTGGTGGTAATATATAAAAGAAAGATTGCATATAAGGACATAGTACAGGAAGAAGGAATTAGTTCGTAGATAGAAAGATATGAAGTGATTTTAATCTCTTAGTTTAAGGGAAGACAGAGAGTGTATACACTTGCGTTATTGTGATCGATTCCAAGCCGCCCCTACCTTTCTCCCAACCATCCCCAACACTAGTCACCATTGTGTGTCGTGGTAATCGGTGTTCAGGCATACGTAACACGTGACCCGACCACCTCAGTCGATGAAGATTCGCAACCGCATCAACTGATTTACCGTCATTCCCTATTACCCTGCGTCTAACCTCACTATTACTTACCCGATGATCCCAACAGGTGTGAGCAGTATTTCTAAGACATCTATGATCAAGTACTAGCAACTTACGAGTATCTTCTACTCTTAATGGTCACGTTTCGCAGCCGTCAATTAGAACAGAACGAACTGCCGGATAGTATACTCGTCCCTTAATTGATAGACGGATATCTCGCCTTTGCTATAGGTCACGTAAGTTGGCAAAGACCAAACGAGCTTTTCGAATCCGTACAGAGATTTCATCAGACACCAACCCATTAGGACTGATCACACTTCCAAGATAAGTGAAGTTCTCGGTGTGTTCGACTACTTCACTCCCTACCCTTAGTTCAGGTGTTGACGCAGACCAGTCCTGAAGCAAGAAACTGCATTATAAGCCTTCATAGTCACTCTTAATACTACTCCTATCGTTAAATACTCAGCAACTGAACACTCGATGCGAAATTCTGAGACTCGTTTTGGATCAGTCAGTCAGTTAATCCCGGCGTAGAGCTTGCCTTTCAGTTCATTTTTTGAATATTTCTTAACTGTGTTACATTACTTTTAAAACTGTCAATCGAGGTATACGATATTTAAACACTCGTGTCACTCTGCAAAGCGCTTATGTATGACTACTTTCTGTATGATCAAAAAGGGGTGTTTAAGTAGTCGCATTTTTCGTAATGACGGTTAGTACCGCTAGCAACTAAATTATTCCCTACATTCGACTCCCAATATCATTCTTTCTCAAAAGGTAATTTGGTAATAGCTTTAGAGTAAATTCCATGGACTTTCAAACTACTTTAACCACATATTGAACCAGAATATTTCCGTACTTCAGTTAAATTGTTCTTTGATATTCGATTGCAGTACCGTTTAGGTTAGCTTGGAGTTGTGGCCGAGGCGATCAATCAGTTGGGTTTGAATATCAGTGCATTTAGATAGTTAGTGATAACTGATGTAAGGTAATTGTCATTGAGGGATCGTTCATACTCAACGTATGGAAAAATCATTATTAACTGTAAAAATAGGTAGCCATCTGTGAAATTATGATAATTAGGAGTATTTGAATTATAATACAAACTAGGAATCTCAGAAATAACGCAGTTGGATCAAGAAGTACTAGATAAGCACGAACGAATGTAATGTATTCGGAATTCGAAATCAAACATTCAACAAGTACAAAGGAATCAATATTTCATACAAACACCACATAAATGTTGAGGATCGATCTCCTTGTAGCTAACCAGATGGAGTGACGCCGTCTGTTAATGCTCTTTGATGTTGTTTATGCGAGATAAGTGAATTATAATGTTTAGGCAGTTCATACGGGGAACGTTTAATTAATGTAACGCAAACCTTTTGAAAATCATTATGTTCGGTAAAATCCGTTTTACTAAGATCTTGTAAAAGGAAATCTTTTTTTCTCATATGCATCCAGTTGTGCTGTTGTCGAATGTCTTTGTGTATTTTTAATCACTCGACATAAATAATCGCGTTACAACCGTCCTCTTATCAACAGTATATCTTGATGGTATTATCCCCACTTTTAAAAAAAACACAGTGGTCTTTGTAATTAATGACAGTCGTGATCACTGTGTAATTTACTGTTGACATATTATATATGGCTGTACAGCTTCGTAATAAATCCATTGAAAACATTTCAGGCCTTCCGAATGTATAGCTAAGTGTTCAGTCACAAGCTCCATCGCGACGCCATTATAATGATTAGAAGTATTCAAATTAATGTACTAACTAGGAATTTCCGAAATAGTGCAATTTACAGCAAACAGAACTAGATGAACAAAAATGAACATATTATACTTCGAAGTCGTAACCAGCGGGCAATAAAGTCCGAAGGAATCATAGTTCGTAAAAATAGCACGGTTCTCTATCGACTGGATCACACAGTACATTTGGTGATAGGGTTATGATGGCCGTGAGAAAGTATGGTGAGAACACCATGTCTCAAACCAGACAAACCAGGTGTCCATTAATATATTAATCAGTCGTTGTCAAACATGTTATTCCACTGGGCAATAAGTCAAAGGGATCTTAGGTATGCAACCGTTGGTCCGGTTAGTAAAACGGGTATGAATCTTTGACGAGAAAGACATCAACCAGTTAGCTGGTGCTCTGACTAAGTGGACAACGGGTGCTCGTTAAAAGTGAATTCTAAGAACAATGTAGTATCGTTATTCAATTATTATTATGACTCACATGGCTGCACAACTAATGGGGTCTCTTTATCTAAATTTATTGGTCATAAAGATTTAGGAGCCATAGTAAGCAGTGACGTCATCACAACGGGTAACTGTGAGACAGCTCTTGATTAAAGCTCCCGCATCTCGTTGGCAAGCTGAAGAATGAATAGATATGTTTTTGGAAAGCTGCGGCCCACGTACGTGAAGCAACGCTTGAAATATGGGGTGATTACATTTCGTACCTATTTCTTACACCTAAAACTGAACATTTTAGGTAATATTTCCAGACATTTCAAAAACCATGCACAAATATGTTGATCTCATGGTTCCCGATCCTTCACCTAGTTATAAATTAGGGGAATCGTATTCCAGAGTACGTAGCGTCAGTTCCTTCTGTTATTCGGGTTGTCAGTACATTAAATCATGAGGATTATCGCAAACCACTTGAAATTCCAATTATAATACAAAAAGCTGGTAAAGAGCATGGATTTTCTTCAGTCTATATCGGTATTTATAAGGGCGATTTTTTTACAATTCTACGTATTTAACATTGAGGACTGAACGTCATATGTGAGGGTATTCTGTGTATATACGTCACTGATTGGATGGCGTTGTCTTCTGACAGTTACATCAAAAGTAAGCTTTGTTTTTCTTGATTTTTCCTTTTTATTTGTAAACACACAGAATTATTCTCTAATCCCTAGTCATTTCTTTCAGAGGATGCCTTGTCATCTCTTGAAGACTTGTGTGTCAGATGCGTGTGCAAGAATTTAAATGTTTTAACGTATTTAAGTAGTGAAAACTGTGAAGTTAAACGAAAATGGAGATTCCCTTATCCAGGTTTTCGTCTGGTTGCCCGTCCTTCGCAAAAGATCTTGCTACAACTTTGCAAACGAAACGCCCTAGATGACGACCGGATGAGTCTTTTTAATGCTGACAGTGTCGACCTTATGTCTCCAGTTATAAAGGAAGCTAATGTCAGCCCATCATCCTTAAAAGTACTCAAGGAATTTCGTCTGTATAGCCTTTCTGCCATGAATCTAACCAAAGTGAATCTAAATACCATCATAAGTTGTCTTGGCGAGTGGACTGTTCAGAACCTAATGTGCCTCAATATATCCGGGACTTCTATTCTATGTGAAACTCATTTACCTATACTAGTTGCGCTCGGAAGGTTCAAGAATCTTAGCGTTCTTAATGCAAGTAGGACTGAACTAAATACCCAGTCTTTACAAATTATTGCTGATGACCTTTTAAATCTTCGTTATCTAAACATTTCCCGAACACGAGTAACAGATATTACTCCCCTACTAAATATACGCGATCGTCTTAATGGTTTGATCATGCATCGCTTGCAATTGGAAACGACGGAAGATATGGCAAAGTTGCTGTACACTGTAGTGGAACTCAACCAACTGCGCATACTTGATATATCTGACAAACCGCGAAATGCTGTTGGCAGATACGATGCTGTCGATAAATTTTGCTCGCCAGAGGCCTTGCCATTCTTAGAGCATATTGATTTGTCAGGAAACCAATTTGGGCTGAAACTTAGTGATGCAAGGTACATCAATTTGTGACTTAGTTACTATTGTTTTTTAGAGCCTTTCTTGAGAGCCATCCTAGACTTACGTACGCTGGGTTTGCATCCTGGCTTTCAAGTCATGAAGATGAGTTGGAAGGAATATACAGACTTTCTCAACAGTATCCCCACATAACGGTAAGTTGAGTATGTCTACTTTTAACATTTTCTATCCATCTTTACATCATAACTATTGGGTTAATTCATTTTCGTATAGGTTGTTTGAATCTTCCCAATTATGTTTAGGGCTACAATTTATCGGTCTCTTATTGGCATGTGAGCTTCTTGTGCGGATTCCCTCGATATTACCTTAAATCACAAGTGTTATAAGCAGAAATGAATGATGGCTAGCAGTGGAATCCAGGACGCGCGTTTCGCCTTATTTTAGTGAACAGGAACTCTGAGATGCAGGCATATCCAGCTGACGAGTTCCAAACAGGGCGGAACGCGCGTCCTGTATTACAATTTTAGCCACCATCCATCTTTTCTTATTTTAGTTTTACGTTCTGATGTTTATGTTGATTCGAAAAATGGAGATACACGCCCTGCTACCTGACAAACCAGTTCTTATCTAGACAGAACTAGTAGGTAGGTGTACTCCGTGACTATAAACGAAAAATTGACTATAAGCCCCTGAATGCCCTGGTACGGCCGAGAGTGGGGAGTTAGCTCTCCCTCTCTAAATGCTCTCACATGACCACGTGCGTACAACCACTTCTAAGGAAGTCCTACTCACTGCCTTCTCGCGACGGGTGTGTTGTTTATGAAATTGAGAGGACGAAAAGCGAATATCCGGTGCTTTAGCCGGATTGGTGAACACGGAGAGTATCTAGGGGAGTTGGAAAATCCTGATCTCAAACCACTGGCGCACATGGGCTCCAGGATCCTAAGAGAACAAATGGCGTGAAAACCAATCACTGGTCACCGGCTACTACGGACTGCGTTTGCTGACGTTGCTCCACTGCCTTGTGGATTAGACCTTTAGGTCAAAGGCTCCGGGTGTGATCCCTTAATAAGACTGCCTGCTCCGGTTTGTGCACCCGGCCAGTATCCCAGCCTTCACACAAATCGAATGATTTGTGTGGCGCATATCTATTTGGTGCCTCCTTGTACCAATGTTTATGTGTTTAAATAAACAAATACTTTTTTATTACGGCTCAGAAATCCTGTTGACGAACTACAGTTGTTCAAAATCCAACCAACTAAGTACCATGTAATAATTTATAAATATTTGATAAAACAATAAAATGTGAATAACTAGTCATCTTGACGTAGGTTGTGATTTATTTTATAGCTAGCTTATTATGAACCGTAAATAATTTTATATGAGGTTTGGCAAAATATGTTTTATAGTTGTGTAGTAATTGTCTCATATATGTGGAGACAATTACATTGGTAAGTATTAATCATGTCTTAAGCCGGTTAACCAAGCTGTTGAGATAAGCTCGAAGCGTCCTGTATTTCGTTTAAGGTTAACTTATGTTAGAAATCAAAAAATGTATCAACAGAAAGACAGGGAAAATGAGATATCTATTAGAAAAAGTAAATTAACCGCAAAGACAAATTTAAAGGACTTACTGACCTATTTTGCCATTCGTGGATAAAACAAAAGGACCGAAATACCATCTCAACTGTCGTGCACTTCGATCCACGTTTTGATATATCTCAAGCTGTTACTTTCAGTGCAGAAAGACTGCTTAGTGAGCCATGGTGCAAGGATACGACGTTATCGTTTATTTTATGAGACTACAAAGAGTAATCAGTTCTTCACTATTTCTGGTCACCCTCAGCAACCTAAGTCAGTCAGTCAGTCAGCTACAACGTAGGACCAGGCACATATGTGCATCGGTCCAGGTTGCCATACCGCATCAGCACAAAAAGATGAACACCGGATTCACAGCAGTGGTTAGGTCAAAGGTGGTAATATATAAGAGAAAGATTGCATATAGAGATATAGTACAAGAAGAAAGAATTGGTTCGTAGAAAGAAAGATATGAAGTGATTTTAATCTCTTAGTTTAAGGGAAGACGGAGTGTATACACCTACGCCATTGTGATCGATTCTGAGCCATGTCACCAAGAGTCTCCAACCATTGGTTACGAAAGTCACGCGGACCCCAACCAAGTAGTCTGCATCTACCAACATGGCTCAGACTAGAAGTTAGTGTCTTCAAGCACTGATGCCACGTTTTGGTTTGGTCGCTCCTAACTTTCTTCCAACCATCTCCAATACCGGATAGCATTGCACGTCGTGGTAGTCGGTGTTCAGGCATACGTAACACGTGGCCCAACCATCTCAGTCGATGAAGATTCATAACCTCATCAACTGATTTACCATCATTCCCTAATACCCTGCGTCTAACCTCACTATTACTTACCCTGTGATCCCAGCAGACGCCAGCAATATTTCTAAGGCATCTGTGGTCAAATACTAGTAGCTTACGAGTGTCTTTTACCCTTAATGGCCATGTTTCGCTGCCGTAAAGTAAAACAGAACGAACTGCCGCGCAGTATACCCGTCCTTTTATTGATAGACGGATATCTCGCCTTCGCCACAGGTGACGTAAGTTGGCAAAAGCCAAACGAGCTTTTCGAATCCGTGCTGAGGTTTCGTCAGACACCAACCCATTAGGGCTGATCAGACTTCCAAGATAAGTGAAGTTGTCAACGCGTTCGACTACTTCACTCCCTATCCTTAGTTCAGGTGTTGACGCAGACCAGTCCTGAAGCAACAACTTGCATTTAGAGGGAGAGAAGCGCATTCCAAACATTCTGGCATTGTTGCTTAGTGCTACCAAAAGACTCTGCATTTTGTCAGCGTCTTCACCAAACAGGACTATGTCATCTGCGTATTCTAAGTCGATAAGTGGACCTCCTGGATGGAGATCAATACCCGAGAATTCAGTCGACGAGAAAGTTATTTCCATCAGAAGATCTATGATGAAGTTAAACAAAAATGGGGAAAGTGGACAGCCTTGACGGACACCACTTGAGGTTGCAAAAGCAGATGACAGTTCGCCATAAGCTCTGACTCGATTGGTAGTGTTCGAGTAAAGAGCCTTCACAAGGTTTATATACTTCTGTGGTACGCCTTTCAATGACAGACACTGCCACAGAATCTCGCGGTCTACCGAGTCAAATGCTGCTTTCAAGTCGAGAAAGACCACCATTGTCGGACGCCGATAAGTATGCCTGTGTTCTAGAATCTGACGAATGGTGAATATGTGGTCGATGCAGCCACGACCAGGTCTGAAGCCAGCTTGGTTCTCTCGTGTTTGCAGTTCACGAGTCTTAGTTAGGCGTCTGATAATTATCGAAGCTAGTATTTTAGATACTATATTAGTTAAACTAATCCCTCTGTGGTTGTCACAGGATGATTTTGACCCTTTCTTATATATTGGGACGATAAGTGATTGTGACCAGTTAGATGGGATAACGTCTAACTCCCAGATCCTAGCTAAAATATTAGTCAACCTAATCGCTAAAATTGGACCACCATCCTTAAAGACCTCTGGAGCCAGTCCATCTGGACCAGCTGCCCTTCCTCGCTTCAGATTAACTATAGCCTTTTGAACTTGTGCTAGAGTTGGGGGACCTAATTCAATGTTCCATTCACGCTGTCTGGGAATGGTGGGTAGTTGCAGAGTAACTGAAGGCCAGCTGAACTGTTCTTTGAAATGTTCCGCCCATCGTTCTAAACGCCTGGACTGGGAGCAGATGAGTGTATCGTCTTTTTCTGATATAATCTCACCTACACTTGACTTATTAATTCTAGTTTCTTTTATCAGTGTGTAGAGCTGCCTTGTGTTCCCTATAGCCGGCGCCTTTTCCATCTCTTTTGCTTTCATTGCCCACCACTGCTCACGGTCGTTTCTTAGACTTTTGCTTAACCTAGATCTGATTTGTTGTCGCTCTTCATCATGTTCGGAACCTGATGGGACGAGTTTGCGAGAATCCATCAGTGTGATAGACTTTGAAGAAATCCACTGGTTCTTTGTAGCTCAGTGGTTTAAATCACTGATAGATATCACTGCTGTTTCCACAGCTGTTTGTATGGCTTTCCAAGCAACAACTGGATCAACCTCGTCTTCAGAACTACCTAATCGTGACCTCAGTTGTTCCTGGAACCTACTTTTGGTTTCCTCGTCACTCAGTTAAGTTCTAATGGGTCTTTTTACTGTGGTTTTTTTGTGTCCAATGAGGCGCAAGCAGATGCGTGCCCGCATTAGGGCATGGTCGGAGTCCAAGCAGGTACTTTAGAATCAGCGACGATCTTCTACCGACTCTCCAACGATGACTGATGGCAATATGGTCTATTTGAGTCCATCGTTGGTTTGGTGTAGAGGGTTGCCATGTTAGACGATGCCTTTCCTTATGCTTAAAATTTGTGTTTGCTAAAAATAAACGATTGTCTGAGCACAGTTGCAGCAGACGGTCACCATTATCTGTTCGCTGTGCCGGAATGCTAAAATATCCACCTAAATGCCTTTCTGTTTGGTTTAAGCTACCTATCTGAGCATTAAAGTCACCCCCTATGAGTACTATGTCTGAGCGTTTAGCTTTCTGAAGAAGTTCAGAAAGCTTTCTGTAAAATTCATCTTTCACATCATCTGAGCTGCAGTCAGTGGGAGCGTAGGCAGAAACGACGAAAAGGCAACGACGTGTATCCCTATCCTTCCGAGTTCTTACAGAACCGTTTAACCAAACAGCACATGTACGACTGTTGACGAGGATCCACTCTAGCAGTGCTTGTTCCGCCCTCATGCTTAGTGCTATGCCTACACCTCCCAGTCCACGAGAACTGGTTATCAGGTCACCAGATACACGGAGGGTGTATCTCGTTGGCTCTCCGTTTTGCCAAGGTGAGGTCAAGTGAATGACCACACTGGAATCCTGTATGCGTGTTTCGGAGACACAGCATACATCAATGGAAAGAGACTCTAGGGTTTTAGCCAAGGAAGCCTGCTGACCGATTTGACATAGGGTGCGTACGTTGAAGGCTCCAATGTGTAGTTTAGAGCGAGGTTTCAGTAGACCTGGGACAGGGTTTTGCGCACTAGAATCGTTGACTATGGTGACACTTGAGGAGGAAGCCGAAAGAGGAAGTTTAGAGTGGAAAGTGCTAATGTCTGAAATAGCCTAACTGAATTTTATTCACTGAATGATGTCGAATACGATTTTAGTTATTGGATACAGATACTTATTAAAATATGAGAATATAGTCTCACCAGTTGTCAGTCGTACCCTAAATATATTAACCATATAATGTCTTAGACTGTAGTGCTAAGTTGTGCTAGGCTAAATCTGCTAGAAATCATGAGTTTTCCTAAAGCCTTAGATACATCCTGTTTACGTTTTACAGGAAACGTGGGTCGATGATTTTTTATTGACTAGCTTAAAATGTGTAAAATACTTTTTAAATCATGGTTGCTTTTTACAAAGTTGTTTGATTCACCAAACCATACTGTTCAGCAACTCATTGAATGGAATTATGGTTAATTCTAGATGTTGGGAGATAGAGGGGACCAACTTTTGTTAAATACTTTGACGCGTAATAAGGATAGAGCTTTCTATCTTCAACATGCTCTCCATAGTATTTTTGACGCAACTAGCAATCGTGAATCCGTCAAACCAGATCTTCTGCAAGTAAGTATAAGATATTTATATGCTTATTATCTTCTGCAAAGGCAAATTTTTCATTTTTTCTAAGTGGGAAGTTTATTGAATATTTTATCTCGCAGCAGGCGTGTTGTTTACGAAATTGAGGGGACGAAAAGCGAATGACCGGCGCTTTAACCGGGTTGGTGGATACGGAACATCACCTAGGGGAGTTGGAAAACCCTGATTCCAAACCACTGATGCATATGGGCTCCATGATCCTGAGAGAACAAAAGACGTATAAGGCTATCGTTGGCCACCGGTTACCATGGGACTTCATCTTCTTACGTTGTTCCACTGCCTTGTGGGTTAGACCTCTAGGTCAAAGGCTCGGGGTGTGACCTCCTAAGAAAACCACCTGCTTCGGTTCGGGCGCCTGGGCAGTATCCAGCCGTCATACAAATCGAATGATTTATGTGGCACGTATCTATTTGGTGCTTCCTTGTACTAATATTTACGTGTTTAAATAATAATAATAATATCAAGGTCGTCCTGATTATTTCAACATTATTATTTATTTATTTGGACACATGAATATTGGTACAAGAGAGCGCCAATATATATGCGCCACACAAAACAATGAAAATTCGAGAGGAATACAAAGAAAGAAAAAAAGCTAAGGAGCGCAACAAAAAAAAGAGAGAACAATAACGAAGAGATTGGTGTAAGGTAATGTGCTAGTAATCAGGGAACGCAAAGGTACAATCAGAAGAAATCTTCCAGGTAAGGAAGACACAACCACTTTTTATGAAGAAAGTAAAAGAAGGTTACAGCAGGATCGCCACTGGCTTCTATTCTGAGCCATATCTGATAACGTCTCTAGCCACTGTGTAGCACCATCTCTCAGACCCCAACCAGGGAGTCGTGAAGGACCAACACAAACCAGTCCTTTGCAGCTTTCTTTCATACCACGACACCATGTCATGCACTGACCACCTCTCCGCTTCTTCCAACCAGTCCCAGAGTCGACAAATAATGCACGACGTGGAATTCTCTGGGACGACATTCGGAGAACATGTCCAAGCCACCGAAGTCGGTGTTTCAAGATGGTAACACCAATTGAATTATCATCTCTGTGCCCGAACACACGATGCCGAGTCTCTGCATTACTGACATGGTGTTGCCACTGAATGTCAGCAATCCTTCGGAGACAGCGATGATCGAACACAGAGAGTCGTCTAACGTCCTCAACTCGGAGAGGCCAGGTTTCACAAGCATAGAGCAAAACTGCTCTCACCGACGCGTTGTAGATCCGACCTTTTACAGCCAGACTAACATCACGAAGGCGCCAAAGATGGCCCAGATTGGCATAAGCCGCTCTGGCTTTCACTATACGTGCATTGATCTCATCACTCACACCCCCACCAGCACTTATGCAGCTTCCCAGATACACGAACTTATCGACTACGTCTATCTGCTCACCAACCAGGGTGAGTACAGGATTGGAATCCTGCCAGTCTTGTAGAAGCGCTTTGCACTTCGAAAGTGCAAAGCACATACCATACCTACGGACATTGATTGCCAACTGATTAAGTGCGGATTGCATGCTTTGGGCATTATAGCACAGTAAGACAATATCGTCCGCATACTCAAGGTCGAGAAGTCTTTCTCCAGGCAACAGATCCACACCACCATTACTTACATTCATCAGAGCTGTTTCCAGAATGTCATCGATGGCAAAGTTGAAGAGGAATGGTGAGATTGGGCAACCCTACCTAACCCCACTGCTCGAATGGAACAATGGAGAGAGGTGGTTGTATGCCCTCACTCTGCCTGAGGTGTTTGTATATAGGACCTTTAAGATGTTAACTAACTTCTCAGGCACACCCTTCTTCAATAGACAATCCCAGAGAACAGTCCTGTCCAACGAATCAAAGGCAGCCCTGATGTCAAGAAACACTACGATTGTTGGCCTTTCATAAGTATGACGGTGTTCTAACATTTGGCGGAGGGTGAAGATATGATCAATACATCCTCGATCAGAACGACAACCAGACTGCTCCTCGCGAGTCAATCTTTTTCGGGTTTTGAACAACCTACGAAGTATGACGGAAGCCAATAGCTTGGACGCAATCGGAAGTAGACTTATCCCCCGATAGTTGTTACAGGAACGACGTGAACCCTTTTTAAAGATAGGGACAGCTATCGACTCATTCCATGACGTTGGTACACTCTCTAGTTCCCAAACCTTTGTAAACAATGTCGTCAATTCCTTAGTCAAAAAGTCACCACCATCTTTAAAAAGAGCCGGAGGTAAGTCATCTGGGCCAGGTGATTTGTAACGCTTCAAGAGTCGGAGTTCCTTGCGGACTTCCTCCTCGTTTGGTGGATCAGTCGTCACCGGCCATGGAGGGCAGGACAGTCTGACCGATGTTGCCGGAGCAGCAGGCCAGTTGAACTGCCCTTCGAAAAATTCTGCCCATCGTCCAAGACGTCGATGGATGTTAGTGATTGGCATCCCATCATCCTCGGATGAGCTGGAAGAGCTTCCGGTAGTTACCAGATGCAGCTGCTGCTTCCAGCTCATTAGCACGCTTCGACCACCAGGCTTCTCGGTCCTTACGCAAGCTTTGCCCAATTTCCTTACGTAACATCCTTCGTTTATGGTCAAACTCACGGTCACCCGGAGTAGACCGACGGGCTTCAATGAGTTGTAAGGAACCTGCAGAAACCCAGTGCTTAAAAGCGGGACGTTTCGCAAACCCACAACTGACTGTACCCGCCACTATTACTTACCCGGTGATCCCAACAGATGCCAGAAATATTTCTAAGGCATCTGTGGTCAAATACTAGCAACTTACTAGTATCTTCTACTCTTAATGGCCCGTTTGAGATTAACTATAGCCTATTGAACTTCAGCTGGTGTCGGGGACCTACTTCAATGTTCCATTCACGCTGTCTGGGAATGGTGGGTAGTTGCAGAGTAACTGAAGGCTGGCTGAACTGCTCCTTAAAGGGTTCCACCCATCGTTATAAACGTCTGGACTGGGTGCAGATAAGAGTGTCCTCTTCTTCCGAGATAGTCTCACTTACATTTGGATTATTAATTCTAGTTTCTTTTATCAGTGTGTAGAGCTGCCTTGTGTTCCCTATAGCCGGCGCCTTTTCCATCTCTTTTGCTTTCGTTGCCCACCACTGCTCACGGTCGTTCCTTAGACTTTTGCTTAACCTAGATCTGATTCGTTTACGCTCTTCATCGTGTTCAGAGCATGATGGGATGAGTTTACGAGAATCCATCAGTGCAATAGATCTTGAAGAAATCCATTGGTTCTTTATAAGCCTTTGGTTCAAATCACTAACAGATGTCACTTCTGTTTCCACAGCTGTTTGTATGGCTTTCCAAGCAACAACTGGATCAACCTCGTCTTCAGAACTACCTAATCGTGACCTCAGTTGTTCCTGGAACCTACTTTTGGTTTCCTCGTCACTCAGTTAAGTTCTAATGGGTCTTTTTACTGTGGTTTTTTTGTGTCCAGTGAGGCGCAAGCAGATGCGTGCCCGCATTAGGGCATGGTCGGAGTCCAAGCAGGTACTTTAGAATCAGCGACGATCTTCTACCGACTCTCCAACGATGACTGATGGCAATATGGTCTATTTGAGTCCATCGTTGGTTTGGTGTAGAGGGTTGCCATGTTAGACGATATCTCTCCTTATGCTTAAAATTTGTGCTTGCTAAAAATAAGCGATTGTCTGAGCACAGTTGCAGCAGTTGGTGAATGACCACACTAGGATCTTGTATGCGTGTTTTGAAGACGCAGCATACATCAATGGTACGAGATTCTAGGGTTTTAGCCAAGGAAGCCTGTTGACCGATTTGACATAATGTGCGTACGTTGGAGGCTCCAATCGGTAGTTTAGAGCGAGGTTTCAGTAGACCTGGGACAGGGTTTTGCGCACTAGAATCGTTGACTATGGTGACACTTGAGAAGGAAGTCAAGTGCGGAAGTTTGTAGTTGAAAGTCGATGTAGGAGGAATAATAGGAAGTGAAGACGGAGGTTGATTATGAATACAGTAGTCTTGAGTGCTGTTAGAGGTATAAGGGTGGTTATCACTTCCCAGTCGCCCACACCGTGGTAGGGTTGTTCTGCAGGTTCCTGAAAAGGAAATTGGATTAGAGGTGGTCTTAGTGACCTGAGAGCGTGGCCGCAGTGCCCAAGGGACAACTGCTTGAGGTCGGTCACACATGACCTCTATGTGAGTAATTTCCGTGTTAGCTCCGTAATTGTTGAGACCTTACCGTCGGAGACGGATATCCGTGTGATAAAGCGGTGTGTGCATTTCTAGGGTCGACCTTTTCTAACCCCACCCCTCCTTGTGGGAAGGCAGCATCGCTGTCATGCTGGTTGTCTGAAGGAAACACCTTACTGCTGTCACACCTCTGTACAGTCAGCAGTACGACTTCGCCTCCGGACCTTGAGTTTGTTGCTTTTGGTCTTACTGTTCTTCAACCGACCTGTCTGACACGATAGGACGTTGAGGGACGGTTGTTCCAGCCAGTATAGGTTGGATGCTTCACGATAGGCAATTTCGACCACCACATCAAGGTAGCAACAACGGTCATCCAAGATCACTAGTAACTCAGGAATTAGTTCGGATGGTTTTCACTTCTGATCATTTATTTTCCTAAGAAAAAGCAAAGCACCCTTGCGATGACCAAAGGGGAATCAGGTTGTCCTACTCACTGTATATTATCTTAACTTCCATCAGTATGTGACGCATAAGCGGAGCTTCGTTACACCAAACGAGATAAAACCATTCAAATTTCGAGGATGATATGCCTATTCTTCGTTAGGTTCTGAAATATGGCAATATTCCACTGCGTCAGTCAGAGAATCTTGTCATAATGTCTGTAGTTGAAAACTGCATCAGAAAACATCCAACTAAACGTTCTTTACTTAAACAGTTATATCAGTGTGTGTGGTGGATTGTTACGTAATTTGTGCACGACAAGTGCTTGTTATCTCTGTTCAGTTTTCAGTTTTGCCGTAGAGATAATAATCTGTCCTTCTGATTCTCTTAGGACTGTTCTACTGAAGACTCATAAATGTGAAGTACATAAACATACTTGTTCGAACGTACGTACGAAATCCTGAACACATTTTTGGACAAAGAAGTGGTGTTTAGGATGCAACTTCAACTGCTGCTCATATCTGTTAGGTTCCGCTTTGTTTACATGTATACGCTGTTTTAGTTGTCAATGTTCCTGTGATTCTTTTCTGTGTCAACATGTTTTTGTTAAACTATATTTGCTGTACCGTAATTGAAATCCTATTTATGTTGACCAAAAATTTCTCACCAGCCTTATTTCTCAAGAAAGATGCTTCACTTTTAAAAGAGAAATAACATTATTACCAAATTGAAAGTTCAGTCTTTTATTCTTCCCGAGAATCTATGTAAATCAACACTTAATATCATTATAAGTATGTATTTCAAGTTATAACTTTGTTTCATTGGTTAGTTATTTGCTTACTTTCTCAATCTCAGTAATTTCTTCACATCTGTCAAGAGGATTAACTAATTATCTGTCTTAGATGTAGAGTTTTAGGCAAGGGGACCGAATCAGTTATTGTTATTGTTGGACATTTTTCAATATGTAGTTTTGATTGACACAAGTAATCGGCAGAAAACTTCCACTTGGTCAAAACCGGATGTCACATTTGCCATGTACAAAGCTACTGACTTAACTTAGTCTTTTTTGTTGTATAAAATGAGCTTTCTGACTGAGGTATGTGACAAGTAGAAATCAGTGGCTGAATTCAGTAGTTATAGGTGCAGTCATTATCTATTTAGCTTTATGTTACATACAGATTATTTTATACTCAAACCAGTGAACTGTTGTCCCAAATTTTAAATGGTTATATGTCCAACGTGTCGGTTTTTTTGTTGAGATATTTCTTTTGATATATTTTGCTTTTTGTTGTTAATATGATTTTATGAATGTTAAAATTCGCATGTTGGATATCCTTGTATTGTAGTATGGGTTTAAAAGTGACTAAATATTTTATTTACTTTTCAGGCTGTTTTGCGCGTAATGAGGCTACATTTACGCAGAATGGAAATGATATTGGCAGGAACTGCTGTCATTTACAACTTAACTCGGAGTGAACAAAGCAATCAGTTACCTATAGATCTACTAAATCGTGCAGTACGTATGACTTTAACGGCAATGGAAAAGTTCCCAGACAATAGACAGTTGCAAAAGAATTGCTTTTTAACATTATGCAGTGACACTGTACTTTATCGTGCTGTAAGTAAAGAAATATGTTCATCTGTCCTGCAGCGATTGTAGTTTTGCTGTTTTCCGAATTGATATGTAAGCTATTATATGTTGTTTTGGTTGGTCAGTTTTCAACTGAATTTAGCATGTTGACTAATTAATACATGCATAATGAAAAAGATATCAGTGAGGAAATCTCGTAACAAGCTATTTGAGTCCCACTTTTTATCTACAGTTCTTGATGAGATTGATTTTATGTACATAAAATTGGTTTGTCTAACAACAAGCTCCTTGTATGATTCTTCTTGGTTACGTGAATACAATAGTTTTATACTTTTCCAGTATGAATTAACATTTTTAGTGTTGCCTTTTGACTGGACTTTTATACTGGCTAAACTTGACAACTGAGTAGTCACAAGGTAATGATTGGTACGGTCATCTTGAAATTACTCATTAGCTAATAGTAATTTTGTAGTTCTTATCTCATAGGCTTGCGTCACACAATTTACTATTATATCTTGTAGTAAAACTTCGCAAATGGGTTCAAACTTTTTGAACATAAATTTGCTAGCCGTTCACTAAAAGAAAGTTTGTAGAAACCTTGATCTCATACATATGAATACCGAAAACGACGCTTTGAAAACAATTAGTTTTTGAAAGCCTAAGTGAATTGCATAACCTCATAGATTCTGAACTCCAAATACCGTTGGTGAACGTTTATATGTCACACGAATATGATTAAAATGCAAAAATATTGAAATGCTTCTAGCCTGGAGATCCTTTGAAAAAAAAGGAGTGACATGGCTCAAAATCGTTTGCAATGGCGCAGATGTATCCACTCTTTGTGTTCTCCCAAATTTTTATCTCCTTATTCCTCCTTGTCTCTTTTTTTCCTCCTCTCAAACTTATTTCACTGTATTATACTCTTTAAGTAACATCTCCAAACCCTAATCTTTCCGATTACTGCTTATACTCTTATTACCTCTACCACTACGGGATTTGAATCGACCACTGCATCTCTATGCTAATGTGGTGTGGCAACTCGAACTGATGTACGTACGTACGAAGTTCTACGTTGTTACTGACTGACTGACTTGGAAAAAAAACCTACTAGTACAGCTCGTTTCTTAATTTACCCATATTTTCTGCAAATACTCTTGTGGTTTAGTTATGACGGTCACCTATTACCGATAAAAGTTTAGAAGGGGGGGTATTAAACCATGTAGACTATCAAACTTACCTTCATTCATCTACTTTGCCAAGTAAAATCTTTAGCTGTTTAGCAAAATAACGAGTTCCGTTACCTATATAATCGTGTGAACTTTTCAAGACAATCATATTTCGTTTACAATTATTTCATTTCGACCAATAGCCTTATTGTACATTATTCCATTTGATGTTGTCGGATGTAAATAAATATGTCACATTAACCATCTAGCGGGACATACGATATATA